ATTATAAAATTAGATAAATTATTTAAAATGATATCTTTTTCTTTTGTTAAACATTCAAACTTAACCTTTAAATAAGAACTTTCTTTTTCAAAATTTTCAATTTTCAATTTTAAAAACTCTAAATCTTTTTTCAAAACTTAATTTTATTTTTCAAAACCAACTTTTACTTTAAAAAAATCGTTTTTAACTTTAACTTTTAAAATTATTTTCTTATATTTGGAGTTCATGGTCTCAAACTCTAAAAATAATTCATCATATGCACATTGTAAATCATCAAAAGAATATGAATTGGATTCATTTGAGCTAGAAAATACCTCGGACTTTTCAAGAGCCATTATGCACACCACCTTTGTTGGTTATTCTTTCTTGTTTCCATGTATCTCTTTGAGCTTATTCCAAAGCTCTTTTGTATTTGAACAAGAAGAAACTCGTTCATAAACATCGGGACCAAATGTAGAAAACAACATGTGCACGGCCTTAGCATTTGTTGAGTTTCCTTCCGTTCTTGGGCACTACACTCTTCGTCTTCTTCTTTGGAGAAGAATAGTCGTTCTCGATCATCTCCCACGCATCAAGATCATTGGATTGGATGAATAGCTTCATTAATTTCTTCCAATGATGGTCGTTAGTTCCATTGAAGTATGGAGGCTTGTTGACCGGTTGGGAGTCTTCTATGTGGAACGAGCCGGAGGTGGAAGAAATTTTCTCGGTTGTGTTGAAAATGGATAGAGTTTCTTCAATGATCATCTCAAGGTTGTTAGACCTTTTAATGAGTCAAGCTCTGATACCAATTGTTGGGATTAGATGAAGCTCAAATTTATCAACCGAATAATTTGTCAAGAGTGGATGAATTGGCTTTTTGTGTTTAGCGAGTAAGGAGTAAAAAGATTAGACAAATTGCACAATGATTTATAGTAGTTCGACTTCTTAACCAAGTCTACATCCACTACCTTAGTTCTTCACTAAGAATTTTCTAACAAATTCACTAACATGATCTTTCTTTTTCATGACAAAGAGATAACATTTACGACTATCTAACTTTTCAAAGGCTAAGCTGAAACCAATCTCATTTACAGAAGGAATAAGATGTAAACAAAAAAAAAACTCTCAAAAGAAATATATTTACAAGAATTAAGCCCACAAGAAAACCAATAAAAGATATGCAATGAGATAAAAAAACACTAATATTTACAAGAGAAAAAAAATAAGAATAATAAGATCTTCTCTTGTGTTTGACTGGTTAGATATGTATTTTTTTCAAGTGTCAATAACTTGTTTTTATATGTTGGAATGAGTTTGTGACCGTTTCTAGCCGTTGTGGATGTTTTGGAGTCATTGGAGATTAATTTTCTGCAAAATAAAACTGTCAAAGACAGAGAATATCGGTACTCCTTTAATAAGTATCGATACTACCTTTGTAATATTTAAATAAACTAGCCGTTAAAGATCATTGGGCTTGACCAATATCGATATTATGCTTCATGATATCGATAACATTGTATAAAGTTGTATCGGTACCTGTTTTGCATTCTAGAATTTGAGCAATTTATAAAACATCTGGTAGTATCGATACTACATAGAGAGTATCAATACTTCTCTAACCTTTAATATCGATAACATATTAACAATATCGGTACTGTTCATATAATATCGATACTATAAGAACAATATCGGTACTATGTACCTAGGGTTGCACATAATTCGGATTTCAATCCGATCCGGATCGGTTTTTATCCGATCCGATTTTTTCCCATAGAAAAAAAACCGGTTTATAAAATAATCGGTTCGGTTTCTAACCGGTTTGGAGGGCCGGATATCCTAACCGGTGTAATCGGTTTCGGTTTTAAAAAAACCAGTTTTTTTAAAAAACCGGTTATAAAAAAACCGATTTTAATATTCCAGATTGCTCATAGGGAACCGATTCCCCCCCAAGGGGGTACCGATTCCTCACTGAATGGTTTGGCTCCGAGATTTCCAGAATGCTCGGAGGGAACCGATTCCCCCATAGGGGTACCGATTCCCCCCTATTCAACGGTCGAAATATTTGAATTTTACACTTAGGGAACCGATTCCCTATGAGAGGGTACCGATTCCCCCACGCTCTAAGCATTTTTATTAAATGTTTTCACACTTAAACGGCTATATTATCTTCATTAATTATCACTAACGTTCAGAAGTGATTCAAGGTGTATTTAAGCAAGCTTAGAAGTCATTGATCAAAGACAAGAAACATCAAGCAACTAGAATCAAGAGAGAATCAAAGAGAAAGCATCAAACCTCAAGTTCGATAAATTCAAATACTTAATTGAAATACTTAATTAACTCAACATAATTGAAATACTTAAATACTTCCAAGTTTGATAAATTCAAATACTTAAAAACTTCCAAGTTCGATAAATTCAAATACTTAAAAACTTCAAGTTCGATAATTGAAACAAAGTTTACGATAATTGAAATAAAGTTATAAAATAAACTACATTGCCATCTCTTCTTCATCATCTTCGCCTTCTTCGTTTGGAGGGGATATTCCAAGTTCGACTTCTTCAATGTGTAAGTTTGCTTCCAAATCGGCATCAATTGCATCTTCTAGGGTGGTGATATGTTGCTTACGAGCCGCTCCATCCAAATAATCCTTTAAACAAATGCATACTTCCACCGACTCGGGACTTAGTCTTGATCTCCGTTGTGATATAACCCTGCCACTAACAGAAAAAGCGGATTCTGAAGCTACCGTAGAAGCTTGGACGGTTAGTAAATCACGGGCCATGGCGGCTAGAATCGGAAATTGTGCTTCCTTTTCTTTCCACCAAGCCAAAATATCCAAACTTTCAAACTCTTCAAATGTCATTTTTGATAGAAAATCGCATGACATGTAATTTCCCAACTCGCTACTTGGGGTGGTAGTACGTGATCGTTTGGATTGGGAATTTACAAGAGTGTTAAAAAGATTCAAATTTATGTTACTTGGACGTCTACTAGATGATTCCGCATTCATTCTCATTTGATCGTGTATTACACTACTTGATCCGTATTTAGTTAAATAAATTGCAAACATGTCTCGAAAACATTTGTTAAAATAATTTATTTGGTTTTGGACAAAGTTGGGTTCATCATCGGTTAGATTAAAAGCAAACGCAATTTGTTCAATTAGTGTTTCAACCCCACCAACATTTAACGTTGGGTTTAAAGCGACGGCACAAGTAAAAATTGGGGGAATCTCCTTAAAATATTTTAAAAGTTTTTCCTTCATTGCAAAGCCAATTTCTTGAAAAACTTCGGTTTCAAATTCAAAGTCATTTAGTCGGGTAGCCAACAAAAATATTTGATTAAGAACCAACGGGCTAGTAGGGTAATAAACACCGGATAAAAAAGTTGTTGCATTTTTAAAAACCTCAAGCAAATCGGTTATTTTGGCTATAGTTTCCCAACTCGAATCCGGATAAATGTCTGGGACATGACCCCTCTCGAAAAGTCGATCGTGAAATGTTTGCAATGTTTCCCTTTGCCTTAAGGCAGTATGCATCATCATCCAAGTTGAGTTCCAACGAGTTGGACAATCCAAATTAGGACCCAAAGCTTTTTTATTAACAGACTTACAAAATCGTTTATAATCATTTAGTCTTTTGTTGTTGTTACAAAGAATCGATTTTATCATTGTTTTAAATTCTAATCTAATTGGCTCAATAACCTCCAAACCGGCTTGCACGGATAAATTAATTATGTGTGCAACGCAACGGGTATGAAAAAACGCACCGTCTAAAATCGGTGAAAGTAATATTTTCAATCTTGGAACCGCGTTTGTATTATTCGATGCATTATCAAAGGATATAGAAAAAACTTTATTTTCTAATTTATAAAGACAAATTACCCGTTTTAAAAGTGTAAATAAATTAGCACCGGTATGCGGCTCACCGAAAAATTCAAACGCGATTGTTCTTTTCATCATTTGCCAATTATCTTGATCTAACCAATGTGACGTAACGGCTAAAAAAGAATTTCCGGTATTATGAGGGGAACTCCAAACGTCACATGTAAGCGACACACCATAACGGTGTTCTTGGAATCCTAAAATCATTTTTTCCCTCGCCGTACGCCACATTTTTATAGCATCTCTTCTAAGGGTAGTACGACTTACTTGAGTATAACGTGGTTGCATTAGTTGTTGAATTGTTGTCGTGAAATCTTCATCATCAAAGTGGTCGAACGGCAATGCTTTTGTAATCACGAACTTTGTAAACGCTTCTCGTAATTTTTCGTTGTCGTAAACAAAAACACCACCTTGCGGTGTAAGATTCGATTGACTAGGATCCGATCTTGAGCGAAGTGCCTTGCATGATTTTGTCAAATGGTTCTTCAACGTTGTGTTTCCTTCCGATGCAGGAAACTTTAGACAAAGTTTACAACGCGCCCTCCTCGAGCCATTTGACATCTCACATAAATCGTAGTGATCCCAAATATCTTTGTTTCGAGTGTGTTCGATCACTCTCACGACTTCAAGGTTTCCCCCGACGGAAGATTCAGCAGTATTACTCATGATGAATAAAAAATTACAAAACTAAGATTTGAGAGATGTTTAAGTGTTGTGTAATAAGATTTGAAAAGTTGTAATCAACCAAATACATCCCCAACCTATTTATACATGTTTAGGATGGTAAAATAGTAATTTTTTTTTAAAAAAAACGGTCAAAAACGGTCACAAACGGCTAGTTTTTTAAACCCAGACCGGTTTTTTTTTTCGGATAAAAACCGGTTTTTTAACCGGTTAAAAAACCGGTCTGGGTTTTTTCTCCAAACCGGTTAAAATAACCGGTTTAAAAAAATCCGATCCGATTAAAAAAAAACCGGTTTTTCCCAAATCTGGTTTCGGATATTTTTTTCGCAAAATCGGATATTCGGATTTTTTGTGCACCCCTATATGTACCCATAAAAAATAGTTTTGTGCTTTAATTCTAGTTTAATGGACTTTTAATTATCTTTAAAAAATTTAAACAAATTCAATCAAATCCAAAAACATGTCAACATTTTATCTTAATTTGCTACATCAAAACATTATAAAACATTGTTCAACACAAGTCAAACTCTTTTCAGCCTAATCTTAAAACAGATTTTCTCAAGACACTTATAGTTACACAGCATGCATGATCGATGGTTGAAATGATGATATAATACATAATATCAAAGCCAAGGATGAGTTGCCGACTTCGTTGACCCGGTTTCTCACATGACAATTGAAGCATAGTGTTGGATTCCATTGCACATGCTGCTCGCGCCAGGAGAGATGTCCATGAATCCGTGTTTCGGTCGCTGGAAATTGCCAGTGTTGTTGGAGACGCTTGAGATGTCAGAGCAGCTTGTACTCGAAGCGCTGCAATCTACAGCACGCAAATGGCCCCCGAGTTCTAATCCACTGTTCATTTGGTCTGAGCAGCTGGCATTGGAAATGGAACGGGAACTTGTGTTGAAAGTTGGGCCAGGAGGAAGTTGAAGCTTCTGTTTGCTAAGAAAACGTCCACCGGATCCCCGAACCCTATTCAATGCATGACGATGCCGAGATTCATGAAGATATGGCTGCATTTAGTTCAGACCGAAGCAGTTAAAGGCCCCCAAAAAATGTTGCCATTACTAATACAAATTCATGTTTAACATCATTGCTAAAGCTTCACTTTTATCCATCGGTCGTTAGTTTCCAAAATATATACTCCATGACACTAAACATTGTTATAAGTTGAAACAAATTCCGAAATGAATTCTACATATATACCTTCCGAGATTTGACAAGTTTGTTTTGCGCCTCGAGCTTTGCACGGTACCGCCTCCTTCTAAGAATCCCATTATATTGTTTTGCATTGACATAAACAGGGCCATCTTCAGCAAGATCAAGCGGTAGCAGTATTCGTGCTGGTGCACTTCCTCCTCCCGTCTGGGCCTGAATCTGGTCAAGTTTAAGATAAAGTTGCATTACAAGAAGAAAAATGGTAAGTAACACGAAAGATTCTGTGCTAAACAAGGTGAAACCTTAGACCAATACTACAGGAGCAGGGTCAGTTATTGAAGAAAAGAATTCGAGCTTTTCTAAGCTATTCGACCCCATAGCTAAGAAACATTTTGTTGATAAACAGCAAACCGGAAAAAATCCTATTAAAGCAATCAAGATGCCAATGATTCGCTGAATTGAAAATAATCACACTAACAACTACTGCGGCAAGGCAGAATAGCTTGGACGATCTTACAAACGCTGGTTGCCCATCCGGAGTAAATAGGCCACCGAAGTATGCGTCCGCATAAGGATATTGAGCAGGAGCCTGAAACAGGATGAGGATTATTAGTTTAAAGCAGGGCCAACCAAATGAACTTAATAGTCACTGCTAAACATGTTTAACATACCATTGAATGATTATTTTTTGGACCGGAATGGCTGAACATGGTGTTCGGATTGTTAAGCAAGAAAACCGGCTTCATTTTTGCCTCTACGTCCTTCCTACAACTTTCAGCCTGACCTGATGCGTGAGGAAACAATTATGATATCAGGCAAACATTGTTCAATTTGTCAAACTCGAAAACAAGCCTCCCTCTTCAAATAAACTATCTAGTGGATCCTTTTTGACACATTTGGGAACTAAGGCAAAGCACATTAGAAAGACTGCTAATGGCCAACAAGAAGATTCCTAATTGCGGAACTTGCAAGAACAAACTATAAGAACTAGGGCATGGCTAATACATGGGATACCGACCATCGCTGAAGAAATAAAGTGGATTGATCGTGGAACCCTAGAAGCACAAGCTTAGCACATGAACCGAAATCACAAGTTAGATTCAGAATGTAATATTTGGCAGCTCATTAACATTGCACAAAAACTCAGACCAGAAGAAGAACAATGCGAAAGGTGGTTGGTCCGGTGATCGTCGCTACTGTTCATAGTTCTCAAAACCAGAATTTTTTTAGGCAAAAAATTTAACTAATACATGTATTAAGAGCAACCAAGTGCACCTGGACATCTTTGGAAAGTAAAGTGAAGACGAAATCACTAGGAAATCTTGAAGAACTAGAAGAATTAGTAATTGAAAGGTAGTAGTTTAGATGCTTATTTAAATCATCGAGAACTCACTCAGGATTGAACACTGGACACATAAAATTCATAAGGGATTCAAAAGAAAAGAATTTAAGAATATGACCAAGAAATGAGGAACATAGAGGCTTTTTGAAAACACATTTCTGAAGAATAGAAGCAACAGCACCTTATACAAATTCCATGAAGAATGATAATCAAAACCCAGAATAAAAAACATGAGCAAGAGCTATTGAGAAATTGAAACATATCAAGACATCATCATCATCATCATAAGTCAATTTTCGACAAGCAAACGAACCAGTTTGTGCAGTTAAGGCATGCTCAGAAAGATTTGCTCTGCATGCAACAAAAAAAGATCTCAGCAAAAAAAAAAACAGATAATATGCAAACAGTTTGGCCACAAAGCCTCAAAAGGCAGACAGTTTAATACTTAAGTCTAGACGGCAAATTCAGCAAGGAACCATACAAGGTTTATGTATGATGGGTTTTCCATGAATAAAATAACAAAGCTACTACAAATTCCAATGAGTTAAAAGAAAACCCTAGCTAACGACTTGGGGAATTTGAACTTTGAAACTTGAAAAAGAGTAAAGCTACACATTCCATGGATTAATACAAGAACCATGACAGATTTGAGAGCACGAGAGAGGAAAATAGCAATCAACAAAATAAAGAGTAAACTTAAATCAGGAAAAAAAAATCCCTTGAAGTTACGAATAAGTAAATTTTAGCTTAAGTAAACACAGAACCTTCTGTCGTGAAGGAAAAAGAAGAGAGACGACCAAGAATGATCACATCCCAAGAACAAAGAGAGAAAAAGGCGCAGGATATTAAAAGAAACCTAATACGTACGGACAAGATAATGCTTAAAGGTCATGATTATATGAACCATTCCTACAACTAAAAACAAACGTATGCATAACGCAAGAAAAATAATACAGGAAAAGAGTGCATAAACAACAGTAGCCAACAACTTTACCCAGAAAAAAAAATAAACTTTACCAACTTCTACAAGAAAGCCAACAACTTCATCATCATGAGTTCATGACCACGAAGCATTTGTAGTGGGAAAAGGGAAAAAAAAACAGGAGATAAAACCAAAAAGAAAAGGAAGTAGTAGTGGTAGCGTTGAGATAAGATAAAGCTTTGAATATACAAACAAAAAGTTAGTAAAGAAAAAAGACCTATGGGATCTGATGAGGCTTGAAGAAGCAGCAGCAGCAGCAGCAAAGAAGAAGAAATGTTTGTGTTGTTGGGAGGACCCTAGGCATGTCCCCTCCCTAGAAACTCTCCAACTACTCGTCTTGCATCTTTAATTTCTGTGGTCTAATTCTAAAATTCTTCCCTTACTTTATCAAAGGTAAGATTTTGGGTCATTTATTTTAATTTGTCAGAATTTGGTCTTTCAACTCAGTAAAGGAGGAGTTAATTCAACTGATAGAATTATCAAGCTCGTTGTTCAATCATTGATTTGAAAATTACTAGTCACAAATTTGTACGTAAATAGAATTAACTAAAATAAAAAAAATCCAAAAATTTAATTAAAAGTGACAAAAATCACCTGTTCAATTCACATGTTTACCGGTAAGTGGCGGATTCATTAAGTTCTATAGGGACTATCTCATTATTTTAGAAATGTGGTTAAATTTAACTTAATGTGTTAAAAAAAATTACAATTTTGTATACTTATTATTTTTAAGAAAAAAAATTAAAATTTTAAACATCCATTCTTAAATTTATTGATCTGGCACTGTTAGCTGTCATTGGATTGATTTTTCCAACTTTATAAGGTGTGAGGATAATGGAGACTAAACTTCGAATTTTCATAAAAGTAGAAAGAAGGATGATATTCATGATTAGACCTTAACTTGTTTTATCTTGTGGGGACCACGCTCCAACCTTTGTTTTATTACAGTCAGCCGCCCTTCACTGTCGATATTTGTCTGTTCTTAGGCGGATATCTTGTTTGTAATTTGTTGGTATTATTATTGTTCTTCCTATTTTCTTTTCTCAAGTTATAATTGAATTAAATCTAATTTAAGTATTTTATATTTTTTATTATTTAAAATTAAACAATTTATTTAATCTTTTGATATTTGTTAATTTTAAATCATTTTAAATATTATAAATTACCATATCTATATAACTAATATATATTAATAAACTCAAAAAATTCATCAATATCTCAACCACCACCCCAGGTCAACGGTTATAATTTTTCCTCAAAAAACAATTTCAAGAGGTTGGGCTGTCATTTTCTCCTTTAACATATAGTTGTAAAAGGTCAGAAATCAAAGGATTATTTTTAATTTTTAAGATTACAAAAAAAGTAAGAACATAAGGGTTAAACATTGTGAGAGATTTACCCAAAAGAAAAAAAGGGAGAAAAACATACAATAAAATATGTACTGAAGTATATATCCAACTGTTTATGGAGCATATCTGAGGACTTAATGTAGTTATCAACTGTGCTCCTGGAATTGAAGGAGCCTGTAAAAACTAATAACCAAATGCCATTTCTTACACCACAGCTGCTAAGGTTGATGAGGGCTTGTTCAAGCTAAAATCACACAACAACAATTCCCAGGCAAGATGACCGGCTGTCGAGGGAGCACCATCTCCATTGTCCTTATAAGAATGAAGGACACAGGCAATTAAGCAGGGAACCGGATTCGTTTCATGGTTTCATTTTCTTAACTGAGTTCACCTATTGACCTTTAAGTACTCACCTTCAGGAGAGTGCTGGTGGAAGCTAGAGCAGCAAGTTGATCCTTTCGGCCCATTTAAAGATATCAGAATAAACATGATCTCCGCCCAGGTCTTTGCCGGTGGCCCCTGCTGCTACTCGTAAAACATCCTCGATCAATGCAAAATTCCCCAATATGTCCACGTGAGCGCCACTTTGGGTGCCTCGGCCTTCGAGAAGATTAGCCGGAGGGGCATGACTGTATTCCCGTATGTAAGAACGAATGCCTGAAGGGTTGAATCTAGTTTTGCCCCGCCAACCTTTCGCACACATGAAACCAGCACTTAAAACAGGAACTGTTTCATCTCCATCAGCAGAGAAAACACCACCTTTTAGACATGAATCTTCAATGCCACCCTCAGCTGAGGTGTCTATCTGAAACGGAATAGAGCAATCGGTGCCGCTATTTAATTTGTAGACATAAGCCCTTTCTGTGGGGATTCCAACTCCGTACATTGAGTAGATCTCCATGTCTGGAGCATTTGGTAACCTGAAAATTTATATTGCACTTGTAAGTAAACATGAAGAGAGGGAGGAATGAGGAAACTCAAAGGCATAACGATCTGGTCGAAAATAGACAATTCACTAGCAACAATAGCTCACAAATGTCAAAAATAGACAATTCACTAACAAAAATAGCTCACAAATGTCAACCGCAAGTCTAGTAATCCTAAGAGGCTTACCATGACATTGGCTAAGAAAGCAAACTCAACAAATTAAAAGATACTATATCAATGTTAACTACACTAATGAATCATTTTATTCAATATAAGGGTTCTCTAAAGACACCTTCATGGTTAACTACAATTATTGCATCGGCAAAAAAAAAAAAAACTAGAATAACCAAGAAAGTTGAAAAACCTCACTTTGTTTCCAAGGGGTTTGACCAATATTTGTAGTGTTGATATTTCGGGTCATCCAAATTATCTGCTATCCCATACGAAAAATGAGCGCCTCCCCGTGCCATCAACTTGGGGGCAACAAAATGAAGCAGATCTAAAATTGATCCAGCTGTGTAAACCTTGTTATCTGCAACTGCTTTAATACGGTGATTTCCTATTTCATGATATTCGATCCATATATCACAGTTGGTTGTTAAGTTGGGCAGCTTAACACTCGTCACAGCATCCTGCGGATCAACAATAATCATATGAACTTCAGGCTACAAACTAGCAAACTAATTATCTCCTAGCATGCAAAAGCAGAAAGCACAATGTATAATGATCAGCCTCTCGTAATTGCATTTTAATGAATACAATTTTCCAAAAGGGCATGCTTGCATTTGATATAGAAGGAGGGTGTTGAAACTTGGAGGTTCAGCGGATGGTTAGAGATAGAGAGATGATCCTTATACTTGAGCAAAATAACTTGATGATAGCTAGGATAGTACCTGGAAATCAACCCTCTTGATCTTGGAAGAATGTGCCTCGGCCACATCTTTCCCAAATGAAATAATTCTCCCAAAATTCACACTTTCCACATTATCTTCCAAATTGATGTTTTCATTTTGAACCATGCTATTGATGCTGTTGTTCCTCAAACTTTTTGCACCACATTTAAAGCTTTCTCCTTCAGGTGACCAATCAAGTCCACCCCAGATGGTGTCCCCACCTTTTGGTATCATTGACATGGTGGAATCCCATGTACGGGTCATCCGCATTAAATGCTGGAAAGTTTGCAGACCGAATACATCTTTGTCCAGAAAACCAGGTGCGAAAGCCCTGTTTAACAATTAGCATTTCATCAAGCTCCCAAGACAAAGTAAACATGCACATTCATCATATCTGAACCAAACTACCTTATGTTTGCGAAGAGTGAAATGAAACATGTTGATATGGCTTTAAGATGCAACAGCACGCTTGAAAGCATGATAGCACCACTATGAAAAGAAACTATTTCCATGTTTCAAGGAATATAGAATCAAAACTGACTACAACAAACGCTTGTTTATGATGATTTTTGTATTTGATTCCCTTGTAATTGATTTCATGTGGTAATAAAATCCGAGGTACTCTTTTCCTCCTTCTGCTACTTTTCGGATAACTTTATAGTATTCCCAAAAGCATGAAGGGGTTTTTTAAAGAGACCTCCAATTATTATAAAAAAAATGATTGCTCTTAAGAAAACAACAAAAGGGGGGGCACATGTCGAGGGAGTAATGCAAATTGAACAATGATGCATATTTTAGTGATAGCTTAACATTGATCTAACCTTTTACTTTGTTCACTCAAGAACTAATAACAATACTATCAGAATAGAAGCCATTAGAAAAGGCAGATTTAATATTTATTACTGATTTAACAAATGGAAATTTTTTTTTTTTTTGTAAAACTGACGCCATAAAAGCAAAGCATTAGAAAAGTTAGCTCTGTATAACAGGAACATTTTTCCAAGCACATGATCCAAGTGACATGCATGAGGGAAAGCTTTATCAATGCAACAGAAATTCTGAAAAACCATTTGTCATAAATAGCATCCACCATATATGAGGCCAATTCATTGGTTTGAAATGTAGGAATATAACAACTCAAACACTACCAAGACAAGAAATACATCTTTATTCGTAAAAAAAAACAATTCAAAGAAGTACCTGGCAACGGCTATATCCCTGGCTTCAACCGAAAATAATCCTGAGACCGATTTCGGGACACCTAAAAAGGGTCCGCCGATGTTCATTACTGCCTTTATGTGCTTAGCACACCAATCTGATCCACCCCCACCGCCCATGGGACCTGGTGCTTCAACCCATTTCATGAAGTGCAGAAAGTACAGGACACCCATTGAGTGCGGAATGACTACTACCCTTTTCCCACCATTTGTTGCTACCATAAGTTCTATGTTACTTTTCATTCTGCTCAAAGTTTGGTCCCTGACCTGATTTACTCAAATAGACAAGAAGTGATAAGATCATTTCAGCGAGCAATAACATAATGCTAATTTCAAGTCATAAACACAAAAGAAAATCTAAAGACAAACATCAAAAGTACACAAACACCCATACACATATAAATATAAATGTTAGGGAAAACTCATTTGGCAGAATAACTTTGGGAGGGATATGAAATCTCGAAACAATTGCATACCTCAGTATTCTGGAAAGATAACCTCCAATCATAAGCAGCCATATACATTGTTTTTTCCTCGTATCCAATTTGAGCCAAATTAGCAATTAATACAGCCCAAACAAAATATCCTGCTGCAAAATAATCAGCTGCCACAAGTCCAGATACAGGTCTGACCCTTATACCCGAAGGGTCCAGTCCAGTTTCATTATCGAGTGACATGTGCTGAGCCCAGCATAATGGTCTACAATGAAATTGGAAGAACAGTGGGGAAATAAACTTTATTAAACTTCATGGATGACAAAACTTCTGCAAATAGTTAAAAGATAAGGGTAGAAAGCAATAACAGGTCTAAGTTGGAAGAATTTCGGATCTTCTAATGGCATTTTCATTAAACAACAAAGAACAATCTTGAAGACTTGAATTTTAAAGTCAGCATTGCAACCATATTCAAAAAG